CAGCCATGATCCGATCGCTGATCCTGTTCACAGCGGAGACATAGTCCTTGAGCGACTCCGCTACCGCTATGGCCACACCGTTCCGCTTGGTGTCTTCTCCCATTGTAGTAGAGTTTGACACCTTCCCCGATTTCCCTGGCCTTAGCACCTTTCCATCGCGTCTCCTGAAGGCATAGGACTTGGATATTCCTGCGCGTCATCAGATCAGCAACCTCTCGGGACTTCCCAGTTAGCGATCCTACGTTCAGAGTCCCAATTCGAACTAGCTTCTTTGGCCGAGGCCGTTCACTCCTCGGTAGCCTTGCACTGACCACAGAACTCGGACGAAAGCTGTGAGGATGCCGGAAGCGGCAATACTTCGTACAGTAACCAAACCTTGCAGGGAAGGAAGCCCCGGAGTGGGTGAATGGTGAATACTAGATCATCCAAAAGGTTAATACAGTAAAGGAATTTGCCATTGTTTAAAATGCCTTGAGCTCTCTCCGAACAAGGATGTCCCCTACGCGTGGGCCGGATATTAGCCTACAGAATGAACTCCAGGGCTGATCCCTAGCTTTACTATTCTTCTTATATATCTAAGTTCATCAAATAACTGATTAAAACAAAAGCAGCGCGTACGATGAGTGTGTTGTACGTGGTCGCACAGCCACTCTAAGAACTCACGCCCCTTGCGCTTCGCTTGCGTTTTGCTGCGCGGTTTTGTTCATCATGCTGTGGGTTGGTTATTACATAGTTTTGCACATGTCATGTTTAGGAAATATGGAAGTGGACAATGCAGCAACCATAGAAAATGGTAGCAATGGTGATAGCGGTAAAAGTGTGGTCGAAACTGCAGCTGGTGTGGACCAGGATAGAATTCATATTTCTCCAGTGCCTAAATTCTTCGGTTTCAAGCAATTCAAGAAACTATTAGAAAAGTGAGTTCGCGCCCAATGTAATTTTGGTGGTTGATGGAATAATCATCAAATTTTCTTCCAGTTTGCCTACTCAATTCATACGGCGCCTTTCACAGTCTAATTACAAGGAGAACTATTAGAAAGTGAGTTTCGCCGCTCAATGTAGCCATTTTGCTCTGGTTAATGGTTATCAAATTTTTCACGACATCTTCTCTAGGCCAGGCATAATATTGGAAAATACGTAAGCAAATGAGTTAATATGAGAACGTTCCGATATTGTCACTTGAACGGGTCTTTCAAGTTCAAATCTGCCTGAGATGCGCTAAGCAGCCATTCTTCGACAGCCTCATGTATTGAGGTGAAAACAGACTGTTCTGAGAGCTCAACTTTGCCCAATCCGACGCTGAAATCTCAGAGAAGTCAAGTCTAATTTCTCATACCTTTGTCTTCACGAAGTTTTGTTCTGTGTTTCAGGTTTTGCCTAAGGATACTCAGTCATATAAAGTCAGAACTGCTAGGGAAAGCGTAACAAAACTTGCGGATGTCCCCTATAGTGAACAGTTGTTGCAAAAGACTAGAACCTCTTCTAAGTGGGTTTTTTTTTTTAATTCTCGACATTACGCTATTTTCGCTGCTAGTTGTGGTTGTCTTGTCAGAAAGATATATGCCAGTCGCATCCGGTTGGCGCCACCGGCTCACGCCGCGGGCTCTCCTCCTTCTTGGATTCGGACTTCCCGGCGCGCGCAGCGCATTCTTCCATTCGTACCGCACAACAGACCTTAACCCTGCATACAGCCACGCCATCAAATTTAGACATGCCTCCTGCCCCTCTCTCCGATTGTGCAGCGTTCATCCTGGGGGCCGCATTTTAAGAACCACTGCGCCTACTGAAACTTTACTTATCCCATATCATCTTCGCTTCAGTTTTTGGAGAGACGGCGACCTCTTATTATCTAAACCGTGAGTCTCCACAAATTTTGGCCATATACGTCCCCCCACATTATAGCTAATAGATACTTGTGCGATTTCTTCTGATGGGGAATGATGGCAAGAATATATAGTGAGAGAGGTGGACGCTACATGCCACTTTTGTGAGACTTACGTGCTTAGATAATAGAGATCCATCTCTCTCAAAACTGACGAAGATGATACGGTATAAATAAAGTTTCAGTACGCGGTAAAGGGATTTCGTAAGCGCAAAAGTGGATAGAGTAGGTTAGAGAAGTGATCTCTAACTTAAGATTGGTGTGCCTTATTACCGAGGTTTGGCGGACTAGTGAGAATGCCCCTTCTGTGCGCGTCTGCCGGGAAGTCCCGACTCCCGGAGAGTACAGGAGCAGAAGCCTGGCGTAGCCGGGACCGCTGATGTGACTGGATATTAGTAGACCAAACCACTGCGATCGATGCAGGATCCGATGGTACATTTCTACTCTACTTTTAACAAACAGCACCCCGAATCCTGTCCCCCCTCATACAAACTAGCCATTTCCTGAGCAAGAAACGTATTTTCGTATCGATATCCCGATTCGATAGGCATAGTGACGCTCTTAGAATTTCTGTTCCACTAACCACAGCCCTCTAATCAATATTCCCAACCTTTTTTGGGCCCTCTGCACAAAAACCGATATTTTCAATCGATATTGATCGATAGCGTGTGAGTCGATGGAATTTCAACTTTTGCCACAGCCTCTAATCAATACTCTGATTCCCAACCTTTTTTGGGCCCTCTTGCGACAAATAAACCGATATTTCAATCAGAAATGCGCAAGCCTCGCCCATCGGGATCGGCCCACGCCTCTACCGCGTAATCACTTTTTCCTAGCGCCCTACAACCGTACACGACCTAAGGACAACCTCCCTACCCATCCGGGCCCATGCCCCAAGTATTTTCATGGGTCTACGTAGCGAGCGAGCCTAGTGGTTACAAACAGACAGACAGACAGACAAACATCCTTACTGCTTTATATATAGAGGGATTCACGAGACAACGTCATTTCCAGATTATGTGATAGGCTAATCGCCGAAATGAGGAAGGCAAATGTTGATGACGTCAATCAACTGCTCCCTGCAGAACTTCTAAAAGAGGTAATCTACATTTAGGACGGGTTGCAGGGCGCTAACGACTGCTTCGCAGTCTATAGAGCAGTATTGAGCTGGTCATTATGCTGCTGCCTCTTATAATGAAACCTTCTATGAAAACCTAGCCGAGTCTTTTCTCAGATAAAACCGTCGCCGAAGACGACAGGCTATCGCAACAAATGCGAGTTCACCATTGGCCTCACGCATGAAGGGCAGGTATGTCATGTAACCTTCGGAAACTTTTTTGTTGGGTAATCGGAACTCTATAGGTTTGCGTTGGATTTGTTGGTGGGCGCTTCTCTAACAACGAGCATTACGTCATCCCTATTGGAGATGTTGATAATATCACCTTGATGACGAAAAAGATTGTCGAAGCCGTGACCAATTTTGTGCAGGCTTCAGGTTTGGTTGTGCTGCTCTTTCAGTTGATGTGGTCTCAGTCGGACCATCGCAGAAGAAAATTTCAGCGTTGAATGGCAATTGATAGGTCTGCCTCCATTCGACGAATTTTCTCGCGTCGGTGTCTGGAAGATGCTCACTGTGCGGCAGTTTGGTGGAGACGTGATGCTCATTCTCACTGTCAACCCTTTTGAAGACCACAAACCAGGAAGAAAAGCTCAAGCAGGAGTTCTCTGCGAGGTAAATCCCATGAGCTCATTTGTGCCTTTTTTCAGCATTCGTTGCAGAAATAAAGATAAGTGTGTGCTGAACGAATTCCCAGTCAATTTAAGTCAAGAACTCGTTTTAGGTTTCTTAATTCCTCAACGTTTCTGGAAGACGGCTTCAGGGTAACGTCACTGTATTGGCATTCTTTAGCCAACAGCAGTGATCAAGTCGACTACGAACATATTGGTGGTAGGTAAACTTTCATGAATATTATTTCCATTCATGTTGAC